CTAGCCGGGAGCAAGGTCAGGATCCTGTCAATAGTCAGGGCTGAGAGATCTTCTGGCACGCATGCGTGCATTCTGCCTTCGCTCTCTCAGCTGCTGTCTCCTTACATTCCTGAGCCTGGTTACAGGTGGGGGCGAGTCTGATGAACTACTGGGCTGCAGCAGAGACTGATCCCTTGCAGGTGTTCCCTGAGAGGCTTGATCCTCCTCACCACTTAGGTAGCTTTCAGCTACAGGATCCAGTCTTTGCCTTTCTGCTGCAGTACTGTCCTCAGGAGCCTGTAAGTCCACAGGCTCCTGGCTGGCAGGTGCCTCCTCAGGGGCATCAGCAAGGGCAGGCATGACAATATCCCCGGCTTGATTCTCCATTATACCCTATGGGGACCATTGACTATAATGGTCCCCATAGGGTATAATGGAACCAAAAAAAATTGGCAGTCTGGAATATTTACTGAATCCAAATAGCATACTGGTATTGGAATTCGGGAATATTGGGAAATACCAATATTTTTCAGGATTAATATACCTGAACCCGAAAAATACAGTTATTTTTCACCCCTAGTTTTCAAGGCAAGAGACTAACAGAGGTAGTGCTCCCTTCAGCAGCACATATACTAAGATTGGAAGGATACAGAGAAGACAAAGAGACTCACAGAGGTGGTTTGCTGTTGCCTTCCTCTGCGGAGCAACCCTGGACTTCCTTGGTGGTCTCCCATCCAAATACTGACCAGGGCCGACTCTGCTTAGCTTCTGAGACCTGACAAAATTGGGCTAGCTTAAGGCTGCATTAAAGGGACAGGACACTTCCCCCCCTTCCAGGATGTTGGCAACTTTAGTATGATATTTTCTTCTCCCCCTCCTAAAAGATCAGTGATTTTTGCCAAAGGCTACTTAATGAATGCATGGTTTCCCCTTCTCTATTCCCACTTCTTTTTTTCTTTCCTCTCCGTCCATTGTCCCCCCTGTGTCAAATTTTAGATTGTAAACTTCTTGGGTCAGGGACATATAATCTACCCCAGTGGAGGTGGGGGTCCCTCACTGACAGGTCCCACCTCCCTGCCGCCGATCAGCTGGCCTGAAAAAGGGGGAGATCCATCTGACATGCAGCAATATGTCTATGTCACTGCCCACATGACCCAGAAGTGAACATACATAAGAACATAAGAGATGCCAATGTTGGATCAGGCCAAAGGCCCATCCAGTCCAACACTCTGTGTCACACAGTGGCCAGAAATACAAGTGCCATCAGGAGGTCCACCAGTGGGGCCAGGACATTAGAAGCCCTCCCACTGTTGACCCCCCCAAGCACCAAGATGACAGAGCATCACTGTGACGTCATCACGTTGGGGCGACACTCTAATATTTGGGCAAGAACTCTATGGTAGAAGCCAAATTTACCATAGAGTTTTTGCCCAAATATCAGAGCGTCACCCGATGGTCCCAGATACGATGATATCACATACAGGTCACAAGGGCAGTGATGTAGACATGTCGCTGTACACCGGATGGGTGTCCCTGCTGCTCCAGGTAAGTCCCCCCTCCCCCGCCGGTTGCCAGGAGGAAACTGGCAACCACATGTTCACACAAATGATATCCCAAGGGGCTCAAAAGTTGTATTATGTCCCGGGTATAAAAATGGAGTTCACTTTGGCGATGACTCTCTATTTCCTCTGCTGTAGCCTGTGTGACAGATAACATTTCCTGTTCATGACCATTGTAGAAAGAGCAGAGGAAATAGCCTCTTGGCTCTGTGAGTGACTGTATGGGAGGGACTTCTATTTATGGGCATCTCTCTTTCTCTGAAATGCAAATTGATGGATCTTATCTCTTTGGCTGCAGCTTTACTAATTTAAAAAAAAAAGGGAGGGGGGAGCAGGAAGCGAAAAGATAACCGTAGAGAGGTCTACCGTTCCCCGTTAAGCGCATTCGATAAGGTCTGCATTGTAGAGCAATTTAAAAATCTGCTTTCCATTACCTGGAAAGCCAAACTTTGCAAGTTCAGCACAGACAACGTGGCTTATTCAGTCGGGTCAAATTATGCATAAATTCCAGAGAGGTAGCTGCAGCCAAAAGGGGGGGGGGGGGAAGTAAGTGTTCTGTGACACTTTAAAGACTAACAAATTTATTGTGGCATGAACTTTCACGGTTCAGAATCTGGAACAAATGTCAAAGGGAGCCCTGGCTTCAGAGGAGGTTAAATTATGCATATCTATCAAATGGGCAATTTAACGGGCGCTGGCTCCGTTCGAGAAAGAACCAAGGGCTAGCTTTTGTGTTCCACCTCTGTGATGTGAGGAAGGGTGAGACTGCCTTCTAGGTAGTACATCTGAGTTGCCATTTAAGAGAAAGAGGGGGTGGTCTACTCATGGGGCGTAGTCTGCAAGCTTGAGCTCATCCGGTCTTGGAAGCTCAATGAAAATTGCTGAGCGGTTGAGTTAGAACGGATAAAAGGAAGTCCTTCTTCACCCAAAGAGTTGATGAACACATGGAATTCACAGCCACAGGAGGGGGCAGCGGCTACAAGCATGGGCGGCTTCAAGAGGGAATTAGATAAGCATATGGAGCAGAGGTCCATCAGTGGCTATTAGCCACAAGGTACAGATAGGAACTCTCAGTCTGGGGCAAGTGATGCACCATATTCTTGGAGCTGGGGGGGGGCAACAGTGGGAGGGCTTCTAGTGTCCTGGCCCCACTGCTGCACCTCCTGAAGGCACCTGGTATTTTTGGCCACTGTGTGACAGAGTGTTGGACTGGATGGGCCACTGGCCTGATCCAACATTGGCGTCTCTTATGTTCTCTCATGTTCTTATGAATCTGAGCAGGGCTGGCCCTGTTTAGGACTTGGAAAGGGAAACCACCAAGGAAGTCCAGGGTTGCTACGCAAGAAGCAGGCAATGCCCAACCCCCTCTGTTCATCTCTTGCCTTGAAAAGCTACGAAGGGCACCATATGTCAGCAGTGACTTGATAGCACTTTGAGCAACAAAATGCTCCATCAGTTCTAAGCATTGATTATAGAAAGGGCTGTAGCTCATCGGTGGTCCTCCTGCCTTGCATGCCGAGGGTCCCAGGTTCAATCCCAGGCACGTCCAGTTATGAAATGATCTCAGCATTGGGGGAGACCTCCATGTAGAGAGCCGGTGCTGGTTAAAGCAAACAAGCCATACTGGGCTCCACGAGCCTATAACCTGGCTTGGAGGGAGGGCAGTTTCACGTGGCCAAATTGTGTCTCACTCAAGCCATTTAACACCCACCAAAGCAGGAGTAGCAGCCTGAATAGCCGTATCGAGGCTTCAAGAGGGAATAAGACAAACGTATGGAGCAGAGGTATGGCCTTGAAAGGGTATTGAAAACAGATCAGCCAATATCATAATGCCCCTATATAATTCAATGGTGCGACCTCATTTGGAATACTGTGTGCAATTCTGGTCACCACACCTTAAAAAAGATATTATAGCTTTGGAAAAAGTGCAGAAAAGGGCAACTCGAATGATAAAAGGGTTGGAACACTTTCCCTATGAGGAAAGGTTAAGGCGCTTAGGGCTCTTTAGCTTGGAGAAACGACGACTGAGGGGTGACGTGATTGAGGTTTATAAGATTATGCATGGGAAAGAGCAGGTAGAGAAAGAGGTACTTTTTCCCCTTTCTCACAATACAAGAACTCATGGGCACTCCATGAAAATGCTGAGCAGTCGGGTTAGAACGGATAAAAGGAAGTACTTCTTCACCCAAAGAGTGATTAACACTTGGAATTCACTGCCACAGGAAGTGGTGGCGGCTACAAGCATGGACGGCTTCAAAAGGGAATTAGATAAGCATATGGAGCAGAGGTCCATCAGTGGCTATTAGCCACAAGGTATAGATAGGGACTCTGGGGCAAGGGATGCTCTGTCTTCTTGGTGCTTGGGGGGGGGGGTCAACAGTGGGACTGGATGGGTCTTTGGCCTGATCCAACATTGGCATCTTTTATGTTCTTATGTTCTTATCAGTGGCTATTAGCCACAAGGTATAGATACGGACTCTCAGTCTGGGGCAAGTGATGTGTATTCTTGGTGCTTGGGGGGAGGGGGGCAACAGTGGGAGGGCTTCTAGTGTCCTGGCCCCACTGGTGGACCTCCTGGTGGCACCTGGTATTTTTGGCCACTGTGTGACAGAGTGTTGGACTGGATGGGCCACTGGCCTGATCCAGCACTGGCTTCTCTTATGTTCTTAGGGGTGTCAAACATAAGGCCCACGGGCCAAAACCGGCCCTTCCAGGGTTCTTATGCGGCCTGTGAGCAACTAATGCAAGGGAGGGAACAGGAGGAGACTGTTCAGGGGGAGTAGGTGGAGCCACTCCGATTGTGGCTTCGGCATGGCGGAACAAACTCATCTGCAGCAGTCAGGCAGGGCGGGAGTGTCTGTCCAGGCCTGCACCCTTGGCTCTCCAGTCTGCCCATGTGGGTTTTCCTTTGCACCCCCCCCCCTCCAGACCACCTCCTTGCAGTGAGGATACACCAACTCGGATCTTACCAGCTGCTGTCTTTTATACAGTTTATATCCCCGGTACCTGGCATTACATTTTATGGCACACATGGCCCAGCCCGACAAAGTGACATTTATGTCAGATCCGGCCCTCGTAACAAGTGAGTTCGACACCTCTGTAGCCCAGTCTTATCAGAACTTGGAAGCTAAGCAGGGTCAGCCATGGTCCGTACTGGATGGGAGACCACCAGGAAAGTCCAGGGTTGCAACGCGGAGGGGGTCAGTGACAAGCCACCTCTGGTGGTCTCTTTTGTTAAGGCCATAGTTCTGAGGTCGCCGCGAATCAGCTGCAACTTGACAGCAGACGGTTACTAAAAGAGGAAAGGTGGCTAGCCCCTGCTGCGGCGTTACATGGAAAGGCCTCTGGAGATGCCGTTTTCTAGGGAACTCATTCCCGTGTCTCCGGAGGCAACTCGGCCCTCCTCCTTCCCGGCGAGCTGCCGGCACAGCGTGATGACGGTGTTCTCATTCACATTCGCAGGTGAACATCATCCCCATCATTGCCAAAGCCGACACCATTGCCAAAAACGAGCTGCACAAATTCAAGAGCAAGATCATGAGCGAGCTGGTCAGCAACGGGGTCCAGATCTACCAGTTCCCGACGGACGAAGAGACGGTGGCCGAGATCAATGCCACGATGAGCGTAAGTCTCGTTCTGCCGCACCTCCCCCATCTGCCTTTTCCTCTTTGGCTTTCCAAGGTGAGTCTGACTCAAGGGCAAAGAGAATGACTGGCCGGCCAATCCAGAATCGAGCCCAGCGGTGGCACCTTCTCTCCGCCTGTCCTGTTCAAGGGGGTGGAGGCCGCAGTGTGCGTTGACAGCTCAGAAATGCTCATCCTGGAACGACTTCTTTCAGTGCTGTGTGATGCAGTTTGTTATTATTTGTCCCGAAGCCAGTCTCTGGAAGCTTTGGGCTTCGAGTGTGTGCTTGGTCTTTCTCTTGCAGGGGTTTTGAGGAAGCAGAGAACCCTGTGGTACCTGGACGACTCTGCCCCGATTTAAACGTGATGCTGGCAAGGCAAAAAGCACTTTTGTGCAGGACAAGGCTCAAGTCCCCTAGTATGGCACCTGTGATGGCTCTTAAGCATAGTTGTCTTCAGTTGGCTGCAGTGGAAAGCGTTGGTTTCAGGGCCGGCGTCAGCATGCCCTGAAGTGAGGCAGCTGCCAGGGCTCTCGGCTTCTGGTGGGCCCCAGGCCTGTAGCTACAGTGGGGCTGTTGGGGGATTCACCCCCTTTCTTAAAGGCACAGCTCCTCAAGAATTTCTACTCTATGTCAAGAAACTGGTCTCCTTTAAGAGAGTCTCTCTGCCTAAGTGTTCGCTCCCTTGACTTACGCTGAAAGGGGCAAGGGGAACCCCTTCCCTTTCCTGATTCTTCAGCCATTCAGACAGGGAGAGTGACAGAAGGTTTCAGATACATAAAGAGAGAGCGTAGCCTGTATCAGATGTTGCTAAAGAGATGTTTGTTTCATGACAGCCACTGGATGGAACAGAAGTTGGTTGAGGGGCGTTCCTCACACACACAAAAGAGCAAATGAAAGAACGGAGAGGAAGAGACCATCGTCGTTTCTTCAGCCACAAAAATGTCCCAGCTGCAGCCAAGAGCTTCTCTCTTTTCTCCACCCATCTGCCTAGTTCTTGGCTTCCCCGGGCTGGGCATGGCCTCCGGCCTGTCCCCCAAATGCAAGCCAGTCCTTCAGAATTGTGCACAGCGTAACGAAAACACCACCTGGGCGACTCTCGGGAGACTGACAGACAGGCCTGGTTTCCTCTTGGCACTGCCTCTGGCTTTTAAACGCACAATATCCTGGATGGCGTAGAATCCCAAATGCATCTTATATGGCTAACCAGGCAGGCTTGGTCCTTTCAGTTGCTGTTTACTGTGAATTCCAAAAGCTCCAATGTGGCTTTGAGGTTTCGGTTGGGAGCTTAAGGAAATGCAGGAGGAAATGAAGTACTCCGCTTTTGCCAGGCCTTGGGTGTTTTAATGCTTTGAGTGACTGAAAATGTTTAATAAACATAGAATTGGAAGCAGTCATTAGAGAGCCTGAGTAGAAGAATTAGAAGAGAAGAGATTGGATTTATACCCCACCCTTCACTACCCAAAGGAGTCTCAGAGCGGCTTACAAACTCCTTTCCCTTCCCCTCCCCACCACAGACACCCTGTGAGGTAGGTGGGGCTGAGAGAGCTCTTTCCAGGACTGCCCTTGAGAGCACAGCTCTGACAGAATGAAGGCTTGCCCAAGGTCATCCAGCAGCTGCAAGTGGAGGAGTGGGGAATTAAACCCAGTTCTCCAAGATTAGAGTCTGCACACGTAACCACGACACCAAACTGGCTCTTTATATGTTGAATGACTGTATTCGGCTCACACATGCCGGGGGTAAGGAACCAGAGTTGGTTCTGTAATGAAGTGGCCTGAGGCAGGTTTTGGGACGGCATCCTCCCGATCCACTCAGGTCCTGGAGATTTAGGGGGTGGAGCCTGGGGAGGGTGGGGTTTGAGGAGGGAGGGACTTCAGCAGGGTATAATGTCGCAGACTCCACCCTCCAAAGCAGCCATTTTCTTCCGGCGAACTGATGTCTCTAGCCTAGAGAATGGTTGAAATCAGGGATTTTTTGGTGTGTGTGGTGGTACTCACCAGCAATGCTCCCTCTAAGCTGTGGAGTCTCGTGAGCAAAAATTCTACTCTGTGCGCTACCGGCATCAAAGTTGTGAGCGAGCGATTTGGCCCCTGCATAAATTAATTGGTTCTGGAGCCATCCCTTCCTGAGCTAAGACAAAAATGTGTGAGCCGGAGGCTTAAAAAACTGTGAGTTAGCTCACACTGACTCAGCTTAGAGGGAACACTGCTCTCCAGTACTGAATATGGGCACCTTGGGGAGATAGAAAAGCACTGTTTGTAATTCCAGGAGATCTCCAGGACCCACCTGGAGGTTGGAAACCCTAACAACAAGCCTTGGTTCAGACATAATAGTTCTTTTCTCGACAACTCAAAGCATTTCATGCTGAGGTTCTACAGCTTTATGGTTTCTAATCATCCCCCCCCCAGGGAAGGACTGTGGCTCAGCGACAGAGCATCTGCTTAGTGTGCAGAAGGTCTCATGCTCCATCTCCGGCATATTCTGTTTTCAAAAAGGATCGGGTCGTAGGTGATGTCAAGGACCTCTGAGTAGACAACACTGGCCTTGGTAGAACAAGGATGTGGCTCATGTGTCCTTTGTGTGCCCCTTAACACTGTTTTGAGCATGTCAGTGAGAAATCATTCCCATTTAAGTTAGTTTCAAAGGGAAGCCACGTTGATCTCTCGAGGACTGCTCTGGAGAGAACAGTGCTGAAAGAACTTGTGACTGACGCAAGGTCACACCAGCAGCTGCATGTGGAGGAGTGGGGACTCAAACCCGGTTCATTCAGCACATAAAGAAATATTCAGGCTCTCTAACGACTCCTTCCCATTAACATTTTCAGTCACACAAAGCATTGAAACACAGCTAGATTTGAGTCCAGTCGCACCTCGGAGACCAACAAAATTATTTGGGGGCGTGAGGTTTTGAGAGCCAAAGCCAGGCCCGTAGCTACCGTGGGGCCCCTCGGAGCCTGGCTCCCCGACTTAGTGCCAGAGCCCCTCGACTTACTCCCAGGAGGCCACCCCCCTCTCCCCTCCTCTGCATGCCTTCCCTCCCCCCGAGGCGCTCAGTTATCGAGCCGACAAGCCCTCTGGAGGGAGAGGACTCCAGGAGCGGAAACGCAGCAAGGGACCTCCAAGTGGAGGCAGGCGCCTGGCTCGGAGAGGTGCTCCGGAGAACCCTTTCGGACTCCTCCTCCGGGAAGCATCCTCCTCCCGACCTCCAGGTAGTTTGCTCCCCGGAGGTTCGGCCCAGGATCCCCCTCCCCCATGCCAGGAGCAGAAGCGCCCAGGAACTCCTGCCATGCCACGCTTACCTCCGCTTCTCTTCCCCGGCCAGGAAACTTTCATCCTCCGTCCCTCCTGGAGAGCCAGTTTGTTGTAGTGGTTAGGAGCGCGGACTCTAATCCGGGAGAACCGGGTTTGATTCCCCACGCCTCCACATGCAGCTGCTGGCGTGACCTTGGGTCAGTTACGAGTTCTTTCAGAGCTGTTCTCCCAAGAGCAGTCCTCGAGGGAGCTCTCTCAGCTCCACCTACCTCACAAGGGTGTCTGTTGTGGGGAGCAAAAGGGAATGGGATTGTAAGCCGCCCTGAAGGGCAGGGTATAAATCCAGTCTCTTCTTCTTCTTCTTCTTCTTCTTCTTCTTCTTCCTGAGCAGTGGGCAGTACCTTGGTTGGGTTGGCTCTCTCTCCCCTACCCACGCTGGGAGGGAAGGAGGCTGCCTGGGGCTTCCCTCCCAGGTCCGCCCTTTAATTAAATTAACTTTGATTCAATTAGCCAGTCCCCCCCCCCCAGTAATTTAAATGCCCCCTGATTGATCCTGGTCGATGCTGTGTCTGACCAAAGGAGCCTTGACTCTGGAAAAAAAAACAACCCCAAAATCATATTGGTCTCTAAGGCGCCGCTGGACTCAGATCTAACGGTCTCCTTTTTAACCAGGGAAGGGAAAGGAGTTTGTAAGCCACTCTGAGACTCCTTAGGGTAGTGAAGGGCGGGGTATAAATCCAACCTCCTCCTCCTCCTCCTCCTCTTCTCGATCTGGGGAAGGGGATGTGTTTTGCTGAACAAAACGAAACAGCCTGAGTCCCCGCCAGTGTTCCCACTAAGCTGGGTTAGTGTGGCTAGCTCACAGTTTTTTAGCCTCCGGCTCATACGTTTGTGTCTTGGCTCAGGAAGGATGGCTCCAGGGCAAACTAAGTTATGCAGCAGCTAAATTGCTCGCTCACAACTTTAATGCAAGTATTATTATTTATTATTTATTGTATTTATTATTTAATATCTCATTGTTTAGAAGTATGGGCATGGCATGGCAGTACTGCACAGACATATAATGGCAGGCCCCCTGAGAAAAACATTGGCCCCCTGAGCAAAAAGTTGTTAGCTACGGGGCTGGTTAAGCCACTTTCCCCGGATCGGAATATGGACCCTGTGTTCTTGCCTTTCGCTTTCCACAGTTGAATGGAGATCTGCGATCTTCGTCTCAGTTTGTCTTGGCCCTGACAGGTATTCCCCCCTCCCACATACACACAATTCAGCCTGCACGGCTAATATTATCGGCTGCTATTATCTGCTAATATTATCGGCTGCTATTATCTGCCGTTCAAGCAGATATCGCTGACATTTCTGAAACCTGGAAGTTTAGGAATGTTCCCTCCCAGGTTGCGATGGCTGCCCCGTTTGCGAGCCCTGGAATGCAGCCAGGCTGTTTTTGTTTTTTATTATGCCTCCTTTTCCTTCCTCCTTTACAGAAAGCTAATAAAATTGGGTGGGAGGCAGCTGGACTTCCTTCCCTTCTCCCTGCCCTAGTCACTAGGAAGCATCAGAAACTGCTCCCACAGCAGCCCATCAGTGTGTAACTATGATTCAAGGGAGGGGGGGAAAGAGGCAGTGAAGCCTGAGCTGTAACGATGCCGTCCCGTTGCCCGTCACTTGCCCAGGGCAATTGATGGTTCCATCAGACCATTCATTACCTTCTTGCCTGAAGATGCTGCTCAGCCATCCAAGAAGGAACGTTATTTCAGTTACTGTGAATTGTGTGTGTGAACTGCTGTCAAACCACTTATGACGACCCTATGAATTGTGTGTGTGTGTGTAAAGTGCTGTCAAGTTGCTGCTGGCTTCTGGTGACCCTATGAATGAATGACCTCCGAAACATCCTGTCGTCCACAGCCTGGCTCAGGCCTTGCAAACTGAGGGCCCTCATGGCTTCCTTGACTGAGTCAGCCCATCTCATGTTGGGCCTTCCTCTTTTCCCGCTGCCTTCAGCTTTTCCTGTTGGTATAGTGGTTAGGAGCATGGACTCTAATCTAGGAGAACCGGGTTTGAGCCCTCACTTCTCCACATGCAGCTGTTGGTGTAACCTTGGGTGAGTCATGGCTCTCTCAGAACTGTTCTGTCAAGCGCAGTCTTCGAAAGAGCTCTCTCAGCCCCACCTACCTCAGCAATGTTCCCTCTAAGCTGTGGAGTCTTGTGAGCAAAAACACTACTTTGTGAGCTACTGGCAATAAAATTGTGAGTGAGCGATTTGGCTACTGCATAAATCAGTTTGCTCTGGAACCATCCTTCCTGAGCTAAGACAAAAATGTGTGAGCCAGGCTAAAAAACCATGAGCTAGCTCACACTAACTCAGCTTAGAGGGAACACTGCTCACAGGGTGTCTGTTATGGGGAGGGGAAGGGAAAGGAGATTGTAAGCCGCTCTGAGACCCCTTCGGGTAGTGAAGGGCGGGGTATAAATCCAATCTCTTCTTCTTCTTCTTTTACCTCACAGGGTGTCTGTGGTGGGGAGGGGAATGGAAAGGAGATTGTAAGCCGCTCTGAGATGCCTTCGGGTAGTGAAGGGCGGGGTATAAATCCAATCTCCTCCTCCTCTTTTCCTCCTCCTCCCCCCATTGTTGGTTTTTTCCAACGGCTCTTGTCTTCTCATGATTTGACCAAGGTGTGATAGCCTCAGTCATTTTAACTGCTAGGGAGAATTCAGGCATGATTTGATCTAGAGCCCTCTTATTTGTCTTTTTGGCAGTCTGTGGTAAACCATAAAACTCTCCTCCAACAGTATATTCCAGATGTATCCACTTTTTTCTTGTCAGCTTTCTTCATAGTCCAGCTTTCACACCCATACATTATCTTGATCTTGGTCGCCAGTGACACATCCTGACACTTCAGGATCTTTTCTAGCTGTTTCATGGCCGCCCTTCCCCGTCTCAATCTCTTTCCAACGTCTTGGTTTCGGTCTGCCTTTTGGTTGATGTTGGAGCCAAGGAATACAACAACCGTTAACAATTTAACTGTGAATCACCTCAGAGTTTAGGTTCTCCGGGCCCTGTTCAGATGCTGCTTCCTCCATAGCATACAGCAGATGACTAATTCAGAGGGTCACCATAAGTAGGAAGCAACCTGATGGCGCATGAAGCACATTGCATTATGACACAGATGCGAAAAGTTGTAATGGGGAAGGAGGCCGCTCTGATCCTTTGTGCCAGCAACTGCATTCTTCAAAGACGTTGGCTGTATTCCAGAGGCACTAGAATAACAATACATCAACAAACGCCCAGCACAGTTCTTATTAGGTTCAGGACAGACAAAAGGAAATACTGCTTAACGCAAAGAGTGATTAAAACGTGGAATTTGCTGCCAGAGGATGTAGTGATGGCTGCAGGAATAAACAGCTTGAAAAGGAGATTAGATAGATTCATAGAGGATACATCTATAGACGGCTACTAGCCCATGATGACTGAGGGAGGGGAATCTCCACATTCAGAGGCACTAAACGTCTGAATCCTAGTGTCAGGAGGTGACATCAGGGGAAGGCCTCCATCTCTATGCCCTGCTGTTGGCCTTCCAGAGGAACTGGTTGGCCACTGTGTGAGACAGGATGCTGGACTAGATGGCCCACTGGTCTGATCCAGCAGGGCTCTTCTGGTGTTCTTATCAGGGGAAGGCCTCGGCCTCTATGCCCTGTTGTTGGCCCTCCAGAGGAACTGGCTGGCCGCTGTGTGAGACAGGATGCTGGACTAGATGGCCCACTGGTCTGATCCAGCAGGGCTCTTCTGGTGTTCTTATCAGGGGAAGGCCTCGGCCTCTATGCCCTGTTGTTGGCCCTCCAGAGGAACTGGCTGGCCGCTGTGTGAGACAGGATGCTGGACTAGATGGCCCACTGGTCTGATCCAGCAGGGCTCTTCTGGTGTTCTTATCAGGGGAAGGCCTCGGCCTCTATGCCCTGTTGTTGGCCCTCCAGAGGAACTGGCTGGCCGCTGTGTGAGACAGGATGCTGGACTAGATGGCCCACTGGTCTGATCCAGCAGGGCTCTTCTGGTGTTCTTATCAGGGGAAGGCCTCGGCCTCTATGCCCTGTTGTTGGCCCTCCAGAGGAACTGGCTGGCCGCTGTGTGAGACAGGATGCTGGACTAGATGGACCACTGTTCTGATCGAGCAGGGCTCTTCTTATGCTCTTACGCTCACAGTTGACATTAAATAGTATCCTTTTTTTTTAAAGAAAGAAAATGTGCTTGGCAGAGCAACAACAGAGGGATAGCCCTGATCTTTTCTTACGTTTTGCGTTACAGGTTCATCTCCCATTCGCTGTTGTCGGCAGCACCGAAGAAGTGAAGATTGGCAATAAGATGGCCAAGGCCAGGCAGTACCCATGGGGCGTCGTGCAGGGTATGTCGATGGGGAATAAGCCCACCCATTGAACTCCCCCTCCCCAGTAACGTGGACAGAAACGTTCTGCCTTGTTGAATGGTAATGTGTTGTGGAATGGATGCTGTGAACCAGTTTCTTGAAGCGGTTGAAAGCAAAACAAGGAGAATGGAAGAGGGGTGGGATGCCAAGAGCTTCTGTACCCCATATGGTATTTTCCTCTCTTGAACAGCTGATCCCCCTTCCTCGTGCCATATCATGATATTCCTGTTTCAAAAAGCGGTTAGCCACAATGCGTATGGGGCCGCAGCGCAGTCTCGTCGAATCGGAGAAGCTAAGCAGGGTCCTGCCCTAGTTAGTACTTGGGTCGGAGACCAACAAGGAAGTCCAGAGTCACTACACAAAAGCAGGCAATGGCAAACCACCTCTGTTTGCTGCAGTGGTTAAGTGTGCGGACTCTAATCTGGGAGAACCGGGTTTGATTCCCCACTCCTCCACTTGCACCTGCTGGATGACCTTGGGCAAGCCCGTAGTTCTGTCAGAGCTGTTCTTGAAAAAGAGCAGTTTCTGTCAGAGCTCTCTCAGCCCCACGTGCCTCACAGGGTGTCAGTTGTGGAGAGAGGAAGGGAAAGGAAAGGAGTTTGTAAGCCGCTCTGAGACTCCCTTGGGTAGTGAAGGGCGGGGTATAAATCCAATCTCCTCCTCCTCCTCCTCCTCCTCCTCTTCTTCTTCTTTCTTCTTCTTCTTCT